GTATTTAGTAATTTATAATTCTATTATAATTCTATAATTTTGATGAATACTGGGGAAGAAGAGGGCCCCTGCTGCCTTTAGCACCCAGAAGTGCATATTTATTTACAGTTACTTTATCCTAGTTATGCACAGTTGCACACACCTTGAGTTCAAAGCATATATTTAGCTCAGCCTCCCTCCTCCAGTAGCTCTTTTTGTAAGAACCGGCTGCACGGTTATTTCAGGTACTCCTGATTGCCCACATTTCACAAGGTCACTTTACACCTAGCTTGATAAATACATACCATTTTTCACAACTATGAGCTTTCAGAAAGCCAGAAGAGCTGGAGCTGAATCTTTACACACACCACCAACCCAACAAAGGATTGACTTGCGCATCCATGAGACGTGACAAAGTCAAACCCACAACTTATACTGCATTTAACCATAGCTTTGCTGATTGCAAGTCAGATTTAATGCCAACTTCTTATGTCATTGTGTAACCCTGAAATCAAAGTTACTTAAAGGGATTCTCCCAGATTGTCTCCCCCTACGTAACGTGGTGGTAGGACGTGGTTCTAAACCCAACTGCTCTAATTTCCTTTTTTGTAAACAACATGTTTGGGTGTTCCCATCTGTCCTTTCATTTTTAGATATTTAGAAATCCTCCTCGTCCTCTTTACCACAAACTACTTCTGATATCACTCCCAAATAGAAAAGGAGTCAGCTCCAAGCTTCTTATAAGGAAAAGCAATGCTTGTGCTGTTTTTATAGCATTAAAACCTATGTTATAACCGAAGGAAACTACAACTATATTTAACGCTGTCTTCCATCACAGGTGAAAGAGAAACTTAAAAAAATAAAATGACCTTTTATGAGTTTCAAGGTGAAAACCACACAAACGCAGAGCTACGGTATATGAGCTTTTTCTTGCAGCGTTACCAAGCACCAAGTCTGCCATGGAAGAAACCTGGCTACAAGGACAGGAATATTTTGTCAAGATGGGAATATCCACGCTAACTGGTCTGGGGCACAGCCCATTTATGTAAACGGTAACTCCGCTCTCTTTCCAGAGTTTGTTCTCCAACAGAGTAACCTTTCTCTGATCCAGTTTTTAAGATTCATTCTTTTGTTTGCCTGCAGGGGCAACAGACTTTTTCTAGTGCCAGATTTGGAATCTGGTTAGTCTTCAGCATTAATTTATTGCAGCTATTTAACTGTCAGCTTAAGGACTGTACAGCTGCATAAATAAAGTTAAAACCCCTTCCAATTCTATTAAAGCTCTGAACAAGGAAAGATGGTAAATCTAAACTCGATCTTGAAAAACCGTATTTATTACTGTTCCATGCTAACCTTTGGCCAGCATCAAATTTATCACACATGCATGTAATAAACATAATAAATTTAGTGTTTCATGAGTGTGTATATGCAAGGAAAACTGTTCTGGTAACCAAAAGTTTTGTTAAATCCAGATAGATATGTGACAGAACCAAAACTAAGTGATTTTTTGAGCACTAACTAAATTATCTGGTGCACATGCAAGAAATAACCTATCTTGTTTGTTTATGAGGCCTGGAAACGAACACTTCAGGAAGTTCAGATGAGTATTGCTTTATTACTTAATATTTGCTTCATTTATCTTAAAGATTTACTTTATTACATGTAAGAGCTCTGGGCCAACTAGAACCTCTTCCAGACGAGGCAGCTTGCACAAAGTAACGTATCTTACCAAAATTAAGAAAACCTCTCCCATGCACTAATGATCTTTTGATAAGGCCACGCTGATGGGGAAATTTTCAAAAACAAACTCACAAAAGCCTCAGCTAAAAGCCAAGTACTGCTCCAGATAACATTGCATATTTGGGTTAAAAGAAGAAACCGTATTCCAAGCTCATTAATTTACTATTGAAAACTTAATGGGGATTTTAAAACATCTGACAAGTTTAAGGATCAGCCCTACATATCTATTTTATTCAAGGATAACAAACAATTGGTGCCGTTACCGAGATCTGTGCGAGAAAAACAGTTTGTTTTTCAAACACTTGGAAACGTTATCCATAATTTAGAGACAAGGAAATGAGGAGGCAATAACAGAAACCTTCCCATTTAACAGCTGAACTGCTGCCAGAGACAGACACATTAACATAGGTGCTACAACTCCTGCTTCAGTCCTTCACCTACTTCTTCTGCAAAAAGCAGGGACCTTGTCACAGGACTAAGAGCAGCAACGAGGCAGCCGGTATCTCACCTACGCAGCAGCGGGGTGTTCCCATCTCTGCACCATGGGAGAGCAGAGCAGTAACCTGCAGTGCTGGGACAGTGGCACTGTGACTCTTACCCAGGTTTAAACTTGAAGATGATCCATGTGAAGACAAGGAAGGTGGTGGAGTCTGAGAGTGGCCAGGTCCTTGGCTGGGCAGAGGCATTCCCACAGGTCCGGGAGAGGAGGAAAACCCAAGGCCATTATAAAAACTGTGTCCTATAGGTGTCAAACTGCTGGATGTCCTCTTGTACAGGTCACTGCTCCCTGT